CCCTTCGCAGAAGGCAGAAAGAAAAAAAAGAAGAGCTCTGCAAATTGGAGAAAATAATTGAAGATAAGTCCTCACAACTGAGACTTCTGTGACTGTACACCCCTCACAGTTATTGTTTTAAATGTTTCTCTTAGATACAATGTAGATTGCAACAACTGCACACAGGCACACCCACAGACGAATGCAGGCACACGCACACACAAACACACACACACGTACACCCCTACAGTTATTGTTTTAAATGATTCACTTAGATACAATGTAGATTGCAACAACAACAACATCCATACAAAGGCGCACCCACAGACATGTGCATACATGCACTCCTCACACACGTTATTGTGTTTAAATATGGTGAATGTTATATTGAAGCAGATCTTTGAAAGCTGTAGTCCTCAGAGCATATTGTTCATTAAAGTTATTTATTTGATTGATTTTCAATTTTTTTCATTAATACGCATTATTAATACGCACCAGTAACTGCTTGTGTGTGTGTGTGTGTGTGTGTGTGTGTGTGTGTGTGTGTGTGTGTGTGTGTGTGTGTGTGTGTGTGTGTGTGTGTGTGTGTGAGAATGCGTGTTTGTGAGTAAGTGTGTGTGATGTGACACTTTATTATTAATATTTATGGTTGTTAAGTGATATGTGTTTAAGAAGTGTCAAGGTTATTACTCACTTTATTAGGGCTAAGGGTCAACTCAACACTACAAAAAAAAAACACAATTGACAATGACAATACTTAATGATCACAATTAAACATTAGTGTACCTGATATGTATGACGGGTGTGACAGTGTCACACTAATACCTTATAATTAGTAGTCCAAAAAGGGCTGCTGCTTGATGTCGTGTTGGTAGTAAAAAATATTGTGGAGGTAGTAAAAAAGGTAGTAAAAGGTAGTAAATTCATCTCTATGAATCCTGCAGATACCCTGAATCAGGACATTTTATGGAATATAACTTGAACAAATCAAAACCAAAGCAGTAAACACTGAGCAAATTGTTGGTGCTATATAAGATGAGAGTGCAGACTTACTGGGAAGTAGAGCAGCAAAGCCCCAAACAAAATGGCTTCAAGTAGGATGAGACCAGATGTGCGGATGCTCTGTTAATGGGGAAAGAGAAACAACATAATTAAATCACTGACAGGGGAAATGTATTTACTGTTTGTCCTAAGTCATCAGGTCTTTTCTCAGGTTAGTAAATTATGTGAAATGCAACCAAATGGAAAAAAAACGTCAACAGAAAATGCATCTAATCCTTGCTGTGAATCCGACATCGCAGTTTGCTTGAAGTAAACAGATTTGTGTGACGAGTTGGAGCTCCAGCTTCTTTTCCATTTCAAAAATGCTAATAATAAATCATTGCCTCTTGAAAAGCAAACATAAATTTGAGTTGCATATTTGACTGAGGTTTTGCCTCAAATAATAAAACTGACAACAGCACCTTCTCTGGGTAGGCTCTAATCACACACATTACCTCCTTGAGGATTTTCACTGTTTTGTATGCAAATTCAAAGGGCTCTGGGGACATTTCTTGTGAACTGAAAAAATGTAGGGGATTTTGAGGCACATACACAAACTATCTATAAATATCACATAGGAAGAAGATTCAACCCAAGTTTGCCTGCCGAGGGGGGGGGGTGGTAATTACTCTACACCGCGAGGAGCTCATTTTTATTCAACTTTATCTTATTAGCAGAGTGGATATTATGCAACTATGCACACAAATCTGTGTGGATTTAAGGTAAGAGCTCAGGTATGTTGGCGGTGAGAGTAAGCTCATTGTTGATTAAGAATGGAATAATACATTTTTTTTAAAAGGAGTGTCTTCAATTAAAAACAAAGATGTGTGGCATAGAATTATATTCTCCAACACATAAATGAGCCCTTAGTTAGAGGGCAGCCGTGTATGAAATAGAACTGCTGGAGCTTGTCTAATTTTACAACCATTTACTGTGTCAACCAATGCACAGAGGGATTGTTTGCCTTTCTGTATCTAAGTCTGAAAAATATGTTGAATTAATCTTAGTTTTCCCATAATGGGGACAAATAGTTTGCAGACACGGATTTGGTATTGCATTCTCGTAAAGTTTGGGAATCATATTTGACATATACCCAAAAATCCAAGCTGCAGAGGATTAGATCTTCTTACATTAAGTCCTGAGTTTGGGTCAAGCTCCAAAGAAAGTTGGACTTTACAATTCCCATGAGTCAGAATGCGTGAAATTGCCCTGTGCTTAGCCCCTGCTTATAACCTAATAAGTACAAATTGAGAACGGCCTTCACAAACTATTATCTGATAATGTTAAATCGTACTTATGATAGGTATAAACAATCTTTACATTTCTAAATACAGCTCATAGATGAATCTATTGGCAGACAGTGCATTACTCAATTAAGTAATTTTAATAATAAAGTATAGGTATCTTTGGGCCAGAGGGCCTTTATTGGAGATGTTAGAGTTGAAAGGGGGAGACAGAGGGGAGGATATTGCCTGAAATGTTCAGCCAACTCGGGATCTGAACCAGCCTACTGGCAGCGGTGACAGCATATGGGCTGCCAGCTCTAACTACTGAGCAATCGGCGGCCCATGCTCATTCAAAGTTGAACAAAAGAGGATTGTGAGTCCACCAGAGCCAGCCTGGAAATTGCACCAAAAATAGGAAATGCATGTTTAAATATGTCCATGTAATGTGATAAAAGTTTTAGTCCCTCTTCAACTGGTCAATGACCATTTATTTCACACTTCTTATCCAGCAGTTAACTATCTTTTTGCTACATAATTGTCTTACCTTAAACGTAAACATAAACTTACCTCATACGATACAAATATTTCAGTATATTGCTGTCTTGACTCCCCATAACATTGTTAAAACAGGCATCCTCCATTTGTAATCCAAACTTGTCCTGGTTGTGGGTTTTCCTCAAAATAAGTTAGTCGGTATGTTTTTCCAAGATAGAACGTCCCTCTATCCTTTTGTTCTTTCTTTAGCTAGTCCACCATTCCAAGTTTAAGCTAAATGTAACGTCTCTTCTATCCTTCTTTCCCATATACAGTTCCAATGACAGAACATTTTTGACAAATTACACTTTTGAAAGGATTTTGGGGAGAACATTTTTGATCAAACAAGCAGTGGAGACCCCAACGTCACCAGCCTAAATGACAATGAAACATTCCTGCACAGTGACTTCTGTGTCCTCTCACCTTCATCCTCCTGAAGTGGTAGATGACCACCATGCCGGCCAGGTCCAGCACCGTGCACAGACCCTGGAAGGAGGCCACAGCTAGCCTCAGGGCCCCGTCCTCCTGCGCCAGGCAGGGGGTCTCGTCCCGGCAGTAGGGGCAGCCCTCACGGCACGGCAGGCACTTACTGGACACCTCAGAGGAATCGTCTCTGTTAGAGCCCAGCTCCTTACCTGAGGACAAGAGAGCACTTTACAATCAGGTATATAAATCCTGGGTTTGCTCATAGCCATACTGCCTTCACACACTTCTAAGATTAAACAGAGCCTTTTAAACATTTTTTAACATCTAATCAAACTGATCTTATTTGTTTTTAAGGATTTTCAATGTAATTAATGTGGTTTAGCTGTCACTCTCTGACTTCTCATTAAACACTCAGTTAATCAATTTGAAAGAGTAGTCATCAATCCAATAAATCAGAAAGCCTTGCGGGTGATAATTACAAGAATACAGCTTTTAATTAGGCAGATGAGGGAATAATGAAGGAGGGGGTACAATTCTGTGACACCGCTCCTTTCATCTCTCGCGGTCTGAATAATTGTTGTCATACCAGCATGTGGCCCACTTGCATGTGGTTTATGAAATCAGTCCCTGGATTACTTTTTCCAACATATTTTTTGAGAGTTTTCACACTAGCATGACTGGATGTGTTCTGTCAAGCGCCTTCTGAAATGTGGAATTAATTAATTACAAGAGGAAAAAAAGGGAAAGACGATGCCAAAAATAGAATTTCTTCACTCTGCGACGTGTCTGCTGTGGGAGGATTTGGAGTCAATCTTTAGCGCAAATCCCCACCACACACATGCACACACACACACGATGCAGCTCTTCGTGAAAATTGTGTTTGATAAGCATGTAATTCCTCTGTATGTCCCAGAGCTTATGCAGTATGCAAACACTGTGCTAAAGTTGTCTGTGTGAGAGCATCATCGCGTAAGAATGTTCAGAAAGTACTAATGAATAAACATGTCAAGTGAATCGATTAAGACGTAAAGACATTATAAACAATTTATCAAGCAATCAGGCAGTCACTGATGTAAGACATTAAACAAAGTGGTTTAGATTTTCCAGTTAGCCTCACTGTGTTTAACGGTCAGTACAAGAATGGAAGGAGGTGGTCATGAATACGAAATGACTCATGATCCACAAACTGTCTTTTGCCTGTTTGCTGTGAAACCCAGTTAAGCTGTTGGTCTTCTCTGGTATGCAATCATTCACTGACATGCAAACTGTTGGTTTTCAGGATGCAATGTGTATATCATATCTTACGAAAAGTTATTGTTGGAGCTATATATTGCTTTATATTATTCAATATTTAAACATTTGTTTTCTTGCTGTTTTGTTTATCGTAAATCTATTATTATTTACTGTTATTATTCATTGCGTAAGATACGCTATCTGGTGCCTCAGCGGAAGTTTACTTTTAAGTTCATTATCTGTTTTACTTTTCTGTGATTTTGGTCGCTATCAAATGTACAGCAACAGGTGTCAATATCCGTTTATAGGAAAGGGTTGGGTTAGGGGTAATTTGGTAGTTTGGAAAAAGGTTGTGGTTTGGGTTTAAAGGATGACTTAAAATAGCTACCTGCCATTACTTACGTGATGACTAACCCTAACCCTATGGGAAGAAATTATGTATCAACATGGACATGTTGTGGAATATGAATTACAGTCTCTGGTATAGCTACGAAGAGTGTAAGAGAACAGCCTGAAGGATGTTGTAGCTACATATTAGGGGTCTGATGCAAAGCTAGTGTGTGTCTAGTAAATGTCTATATTAGTATCTGTATTCGTTATCTGCCTTGTTTTCTGCAATACATATTTTTTCTCCTGCTTATACTTATGTATCTACAAGTTTAACTGCCAAACCTGACATTTAAACGCTTATTTGAAAAAGTCCAAACTGAGGCTTAATAAAAAGCCAAGTAACATGATAAAGGTCTAGTTAAAAATCAGTACTCCAAAGTGAGCAGGAGGTTAGAGGAATAATATAAGTAAGAGATGCATTGGATGAGAATGCTATCGACAAATGTTTGATAAGCTTGAACCATTTTAAATGCACTTCTGAGACGGATGATTCTCAGATCTTTATATATTGACTACAATGTTTTAGCCAACAGCAATAATTAAGGATTTTTTAGTAGAAATTGGTCATATCTAAATAATGTACCGAGTTAGTTTACACTCAGACTATTTGTGTGATTATTAGGTGGAAAACTGGTCTTCCTTAAGACATCTGGGCAGTTTGTTCTTTCACTGGAGTTTAGAGGGTCAAACCATTGTCAAAATAACTTGAGACAGGCTACAAGGTAAAACAAGTTACCCTACAGGGCTCGACATTATAAATGGCCCGCTGGCCCGGAAGCACTATTTAGACACCCCGGGCCAGCATAACGTAGGCTACATTCCACTTGCCCGCTCGGGCCACTAAAAATATTGCTTTAAAAAAAAAAAATGGTCCTGTGGTATTGGTATTTTGACAAGCAATTTAGTTAAATTGTTTCGTTTATTAACGCTACAACATAGCGTTTCGTGAGGCGGTTATCGTCGTTGGGTGAAAAGCAAACAGCTGTTTGCTGCGTAGCGCAGCGCGAGCAGGCTCCCGTGAGCGGGAGCGCATTCCTTCTTCACTACAGACTATCGCGCCACCTAACCATTCGCCTAAAGGTTTTTAATACCAGCGGTAACCGGCCAAGTGCCGGGCAAAAAACAATCTTCAAATAAAAGAAAGGCACCGGAGGAGTTACGGAGAGTGACAGGGAGTATGAGAAGAAGAGGGAGAGAAGGTTTTAGCCACACTGTAACGCGTCCTAAAACCCTTTTATAATCTATCGATTAGATTTATGATTTGAAAATGATAAAAGTAGGGTAACAAAACGTGGAGATTATCCGGCTGAACAAAACGTGCATTTATCAAACAGGTTTGTTTTCCACAGGCTTATTTCCAGCTATTTTCCAAAACCCTGTGGAGAAATCCCATTGCTTTTTGTCGAGGGAACCATAGACTTGAGAAAAAATTCACCCCCCCAATCCATATTCATCAACATCTAACTATACAGAGAATATGGTTTTTTGAACCACGATGTAAACATGTTTAATCCTGCTCTAAAGTTGGGCATTTTAACATTGGGGTCTATGGAAATTGCTCCCTTCTGCAGACTGCTCCTAATGGCCACTAGATGAACTGCAGTTTGAGGCACTTCCGCATTGGCGTCCCGGCTCTTCCCCAGAGTTTGCCGCTTGGAGGGAACCAGCAGCTTACTCCCTGGTTTTACGACGCGTCACTGCACCTCTCAATATGATGCCAATGTAAACAAGGTCTTCTGTCGGCTCTGTGGTTGGAGGGAACCAGCAGCTTACTCCCTGGTTTTATGACGCGTCACTGCACCTCTCAATATAATGCCAATGTAAACAAGGTCTTCTGTCGGCTC